AGGGAACAGAACCACTAAGCTAAATCCTCAGCCCTTATATTTCGTGAATGTTGAACAATTTCTCATTCTTTAGGAATTCTGGAGAGTCCATCCAATAGACCTTCTTAATCATAACAAATAAAGATTGAAAAATCATTTTAGAATATTTTCTTTTTTAGTCTTCATTGATGTCCTGCAATACTCTTAATCTTTCAGTTTCCAGCAACCAGTACGTGGGTACCAAGCAAAATACAGATGTGTGGTGGTGATAATTATTTCTACTTAAAATAATGTATATATGTATGTTTATGAACACTAGTTAACAGATGTGTACCAAAGCAATCTCCAAGTGGTGACTTTTAGATCATCCTAATATAAAACCTTAATGGAATGCTAAAAATGAACTTTGTAGCTTCGTGGTTACAGCAAGGTCTCCAAAGTCACAGCCGCCTGAAGGTTGATTCTGTAATTAGAAGATGCCAGGGTCATCCCAGAATAGAACCTCAGACTACTCAGGCTACATTTATGGAATCAGCTCCTCCAGAGTAAAAACAAGAAAGAAGAGCCTTCCTATGTTTTTGAGAAGGGTCCCTCCTATCAAGGGTTTTGTGTTGGTGTTGCAGGAATCAAGACTTGGGCAAAAGCTCACTGAAGCATATGCAGGAACAAATCAGGTTATGACAGGCAAGGGCTCGAGGGGAGAGAATGAGACACTTCGAAACTTCTCAGAGGCATCTGTCTTAGGCTCTAACTTTTGAAACTCACCATTTTTGCAGTATGAAGCTATCATACTTGCAGAGTATGCTCCTGGGTACCAAGAGACTTATGTATCTGTGTCATTAACCTGGCTGAAAACACTGAGCCTCTTTTAGCATTCAGGCTCTTCTGATGGTAGAGACGGAGCAGATAAAAAAACACTGCAGTGTGTTCGTGTACTCACTGTGGGGTGGGTGGATTCTTGGCACCACAGTCAGTCTTAGTTAGACTCCACGTTCGGCTCCAGGGGTGGTAGACTTACCTATTTAGAATCGATGGCTGCTCTTTCTCTGGGGCTCACCACCTTTTTCTAGGATCCAGTCTTTGTCTTACGGGTGGGTGTAGGACTTACTGTCACCCGCTCCCCATTATAAAATGTGAGAGACTATCCTAATCTTGAGGTTATCACTTTCTCAGCCTTGTCACATTTTTTCAAGATCCCATCTTTGTCTTACCGCATGTAAAGGACTTATGTTGTTCATTCTCCATTTGAACAGTCTAAAGGATTATCTTAATAGGAGTGCTCTGAGGATCCTTACCATTCAAAATTACAAAATGAATGATTTTGTTGGTGGGATTTTAAACACTGTACTATGCGGGGGGAAAAGGGGGAAAGAAATGGAGGGTCAGGGAGACCTGGTAATCACTCTCTAAACTCGTACTAGCAGTGGTAACTCCTCCACCCCACAGTTTTCCTTTCCTTCCTACAGAAGGTCAGAGTAATTAGTTGTCAGCCTTTACTTGTCTTGGTGTGGTAAAAGTTTGGTGTGGTGAAAACTTTATAGGTCATAGCACCTGAAAATGATATTTATAGTCAGCTAATAGGATCTTTTTTGTTTATGCTGCCATTCTCCCAAGGAGCTCAAAGTTCCAACAAAATCCATTTTCAGAAAACTCCTGTGAAGCAAAGACAGCATATTCTTTCCTTAAAGAAGTAACAGAGGCAGAGTTTACTTACACCGTGGGACTCGTGATTTTGTTTAGTTCCATGCCTGAATCCAACCTCTTGTCCTTTGACCGAAGCCAGAGGGACCCCTCTCCCAGACCCGGGCCTCAGAAAGCTTGGCTTTGGCTCTCCTCAAACTTCATCCTGATCTAAGGGCAGGTCCATGCACAGAAGTGCAAGGTACCCTGAGTTCTGCAGACCACTTTCTTGCCCTGGGGACTCCAGATGAACTTCTAGGATCTGCTTGGGGCTTGTCTCAGTCTGTCTCGAATGTTAAGAGAACCTCTGTTGTGTGCAGCCGGACTTCAATGTGGTCCAGAGGTGGCTACTGACTGTGGACTGAGTACGTGCAGTTGGGATTGGGGGTCCACATGCAGGCAGTTTAAGTTCTGGAATCTGACAGATTCTCTGGTAAGGAAGAAAGGGGCGAGGGGGCAGCTCTTCCACTAGCACAGTTTTGCTACAGCCCAGGTCAAACAGTGACGCGTCTAAAGGTGAGTCTACTCTTCAAGGCTACTGCAAAGTGATCTGTGTTACCTCAGGAGACATTTATTTCAGTTTTTTGACTTAATTTTGTACCTTAGTATTTGAAAATCTGCTACGTGGGCCTCCATTTGTATTTCCGCCCCTCAAATGTTGCGGATGCACCTTGAGACCATAATGTCAAGTAAAATAAGCCATACAAATAAATACTGCATGGTTTTTCCTATATGAGAAATCCAAAGTATAAATAAATTAAAGAGCAAAATAAAAGCTAGTAAGAAACAAGGAGATAGATCTTTTGCAAAAAGAAAGGGGACCAAGAGATGAAGGGAGAGGAAAGGAAAGGAAGAGGAAGGGGAGGTAAAAAGAATCAAGATGAGTTATGTACATGCACCATCTCCCCTTATGCATGAAATCATTACATACTGCATGTATGTACTAAAAAAATTAAGAAAAAAATGTCTTGGGCAGTCTTGTCCTTGACAGTCAAAGCCAAAGCCAAGGAAGAAGTCAGAAAACAGGGTGTGGTTTTATAATTTTACACGATGGGCGGTTGTCTGGCTGCATTTTGGAAATCTATATGAGCTCAAGCAAAAATAGTATTTTTCACTGGGACCTTGACCAATATAATTAAAATACACGTAAAAATGGGTCAGGTTCACGTTATCTTTTTTTTTTCAGCCTTCCTTCTCCCCGTGGGGCAGGATGTTCTTCATCGGTTCTCCCACGGGGCTGGGGGCCCAGGGTAGGAATCTCAAAAGCATCAGGTCTCCCACTGAAAAAGGCTTGTGATGGATTTATTATTCAGCCCAGCCACCACCCTTCCAACCTAGGTCTTTGAGAAGAAGCCACGGAAGGACTCACTTCCCAAGGGACGACGTCAGCCTCCAGCCCTTTCTCCTCCACCCAATCTTTACGCTGAGTAAATTTAAAAAGGGCAAAACATTTGGAGTGGAAAGCAGGAGTTTAGAGGAAGGTACTTCCACTAGCGCCCTGGCTGCCAAGAAGCAGCCTCGAGTCCTGCCGGATTCTTGGGCTCAGTTTCCCGCTCGGCCGAGGCCCGCAGGTTAGGGCCAGGGCAGGAGCAGCGGACCCGCGCCCTTGCAGCCCGCGGCCTCCCGTCCCCCGGCCCCGCCCGCTGCCCCGAGGAGTCGCCGGTTTAAGGGGCGGGCCGCGGCTCCACGTGCTTTCTGCTGAGTGACTGAACTACATAAACAGAGGCCGGGAAGGGGGCGGGCGCGCAGGGAGAGAGCAGGCTTTGACCGGTAGTAACCCCTGCGCTCCGCGCAGCCGAATCTATAAAAGGAACTAGTCGCGGCAAAAACCAGCGATTCCGAGGGAGAGGGAGAGGGGCCGGGACCTACAGAGCGGAGTCTACTCTCTTGGTCCCCGAGCTGGGCAGGGCAGGGGGCGCCGGGAGACCCACGCAGCTAAAGCCACTTTCTCGGGGGGCGCTTCCGCTCCCTGCGCCCCCACCCTTCGCTGGAAGGGTTTGTCAAGGGGTGGGCAAGAAACGCAAACGCAGAAGTGGAAAACAGGTAAGAGGCTCTGCAGTGACCTGAGCGTTATTGTTTTGTTTCGGGGCCGAGGAGGCTTTGAGAAGCTCTAGGTTTTGGGGACTCCGGTCCCGGCCCCCACATTTCTACCTCTTTCATCGCAAATGGGGCAGGGGCGGCGTAAGGAAGAGCGGGTGTCCCAGGACGACTTGTGGCCACCGGCGCTGAGGCACTCGGGGGTCGCCTGGCCAGGGACCCTGGAGCGCATCTGTGGGCTTGGAGACCCAGGCGCAGCACTTGGGGCAGTGGGGTCGGGGGTTCTGGAGGCTTTGCTTCTGGGAGGGGAGAGTGGCAGATCCCACGCAAAGCGTTGCCCTTTGTCTGGAAGCCGCTGAGCCGGCTGGAAACCCCTCTGGCTTCGGGTCAGTCAGCGCCCACCGGGACAAATGCCAGCTCGGAGTCCCCACTCCATTCTTTAGAAACTGGTCTGTGTTGGGCTCTGACCTGCGGATCTGCTCAGTGCGCCCAGAGACTGGAACGGCGCGTCCTCGGTCCCGAAGAACTCGAGTAGGAAGTGTCCCGAATGGAGTCCGTTATGCTCCAGCTCGCTTAAGGGCCTCCGGGCTTTGTTTAACCGGGAGGTCCGTGCGCCTCCCGGATCCGGTAGCTCTGGCGCAGCTGAGGGAACGAGTTTTGATTCTTTTAAATTAAGACAGAAAACTTAGGAGAGCCTGCGTAAACCAGAGCTGGGTGCCCTTTTCTTTCCACCTCCTGCCCCATCTTCCCTCCCTTTGCTGCCCTGCGCGGGGGCAGCTCAGGCTGGGAACGAGTAGAAAAGCTGGGGCGAGGTGGTGCTGCGGGATGACCGAGAGTAACCCCGCGGGCGGCGCAGAATTGGGAGCGCGGCTGTAGGCTGGGCTCGGCAGGGAGCCGTGGGGGCTGGGCGCGGACTGCGGTGGCCTGGAGGATTGGCCCGCAGCGCCTCCTGGCCGGGTGACTTAGGTATCGTATCGGCTGGGGCTGGAGTGGGGCCCGGCCCAGCGAAGCGTCGTTTTTCCCTGGTTTGGGCCCACTTTGAATCCGGCAAGGACCTGTGGTTGCAGCCTGGGAGGAACCCTGGGGCTCGGAAGAAAGCCCTTGTGGTTTCATCTAGCCTTGGCCATTGCTAGAGGAGAGAAGTTTCTCTGGGGCATCGGACGCTTCAGGGTTGTGTCCCTTCCTGTCTTTATCAACACTTCTGGGAAAGAATGAAAGAAAATAAAATTCAAAGAAAAAGGTATAGGTTGTACAAGTGATTGGACTTTCTCATTTGCAGTATCAGTACCATCCACTTTTTAAAACGAAAGACTTCACAGTGACACCTCACAAAGGAATAGATAGTTTATAGATTCATATGATAGAGGATAGGTTTAGTGTTGAAGAAAACTTTAATGGGGACGAGAATCAGCATATCACTTTTCCTCTATTGCTCAAGGATCGCCTCCCACGAACAAACAAACAAGCAAACAAAAAACCACCTGATAAAATTTTTTTCTTCAAGTTCAAGAGCAGAGTTTAAAAATTTTTTTAAATGATAGCTTGGAACCTAGACTCAAGATGAGGTTTTTTTTTTGTTTGTTTGTTTGTTCTGTGTGACCGTGTTTGTGTGTTTACAGAGGACCGAACCCAGGGCCTTTGCACTGAGCCACATCTCAGACCTTTTATTTTCATTTGCAAATTTGAGACGGGGTCTCCTTAAATCCCTGTTGTTTCCCAGGCTGAGTTCAAACTTGCATCCTGCCTCAGCCTCTCAGAGTGCAAGGATTACAGGCCTTGGCTGCCCTGGCTCAAGTTTTGATCTTTTCAAACAGAACTTGTTTCTCATCTCCCCCTTTAGCCTATTTTTTCTCATATCTCCCACAGAAGTAGAAGTAGTGGAGGTTTTCTGTTGTTCGTATCATTTGAGAAACTTCTTTCACATCGAAGAGAGAGTAAAAGCATAGAGAGTATTCCTGACTAGAGCTTCTTGTGCTAGCATAATAAATTTCAAGTACAAAGCTTCTGCTGCCGGCCTGTTTCCCAAGTGCTCCCATAAACCATTGAAATAATTCATGATAAGAATTTTTGGGAAAACATTGTTTGTACTGAGAAAAATCAGTATTGACTAGAGAATAAGTGATAGGATCAGAGGGAACGGACAATGGACAATGGGGTCTCTGGCCTCATGGTGACCACAATCCCTTTGTGGAATGGTAATTAATACCTTAGACCAACAACTCATCAGTCCCTTTGTGAAAGGTGCTATGATGGCAGAATGATGCACCTGTGACTAGGACACCTGTGGTATGTTTGTCTTCTCTTCAAATGAGCACTGGAAATCTCACCTCTCATAAGTACTTCTGTTGGCCTTTAGGTGCAGGTCTGTAATAGACCCTGAGCACATTTTGACTTAAATCATGTTAACAGTTCAGATGAAACGGTGCATTAGCCTGGGATTGGAAAAAGGTGGTTAAGGTGTGGTTGTTTTCAACCTCTGTTCAAGGAAATTCCAGTGCAAACTATTAAAAATGAATGAAACTCAGCAACACAGCGTTTTGTTATCTTTTTAGTATTTATCCTACATAGAGGGAACTTGGAATATTTTTCCATTTAAATTTTACTTTTATAGGGATTTGTTCCTACCTTTTGTAGGAATGCTTACTACCTTTGTAGTAGTGAGTATGAATTGTTAGATCTTTGTGGTTTTAAATTTTTAGCTCCTAAAATAAGTAGACATTGCCTTAAAGTCTTTTTAGTTAGGAGCCTTCTGGATATCTACTAAATACTAAAATGCATGTAGCTTTGCATTTCAAAGACACACTTAAGCCTATTATATGCATTTTTATTCTCTATCTAGATGGTAAAGAAATAATGCAGTTACAATGGCCCTGATGGTCAGTTACTTTAGCATCAAATTTTCAAAGATCATTCTGAATATTTGCCTTACTTAACTGTCTTGAGAGAGGGCCCCTCACTAAAAGCTGAGCCCATCCTCACATCTGCAAGAAGAAATAACCACGAATGCCAGAGTTATTGCAATATTTATGTAATAGATACTTATAAGGCACTCTGTGTCAAGTACTGTTCTAAATGCCTCTCAAGTGCTACTTTACAACAAACTGACTTATCCCTGTTTTACACATTGAAAAGCTGAGAAGCTAACTAGCTTGTGGCTGGCTACATGCCTTGCACTTGGCAGATTTGAACCTCAGATTTGAACTCAGTTCCAGAGGTCATTAATTTCCACATCAAGCAAAAGAGCTGGTACAGTTTCAGCTGTGTGAGCCGGCAACTTTGGAGGATGCTCACTATGTTCTGAACATTGACGAGCTGTAGTCCTTATCAGAAACTACTTCCCGTGTTTACAGATTCTCCTCAGCTGTTGGGACCTTGGTTGCATTGGGATTACACCATTATGGAAAGAACCTAGAATAATATTTTCTGAATTCTAATTGTTTTACTTGCGTTAAAATGCAAATGATACTATTGCTTCAATTATTTGAGTAATCTTTGATCTTAAAATATTTTCTAGTGTGATGTACAGGGCAGAACATGGAATGAATGATGTATTTAGTTGTAAAATATAAGGAACAAAAAAAGGGAAGATAACTGTTCAGCTGTTAATCCCAACTCTGAAGAATTTTTTTTAATGGCTATAATACAATGCAATTTTTATTGGCCTATTCCTAGTTTGTGGATCTTTTGAAATAAGCTGTTTTTCTTTTATTACTGTTATTGTCTAGAAATCAAATTCAGCCTTTTCTTAAGTTTATTTCTCTGGAAGTAAATATAGTTTCAGAGTCTGCATTATAAAAATGAAGTAGCATGGGAAACTACTTTTCTTATCAATTGGTGCAACAAATTTAGAAATAAACTCTTAGAAAACACTTCTCAGTAAAACAATTGTTAGCGGGGCCTGGTGGCGCATGCCTGTAATCCCAGAACTCGTGAGGCTGAGGCAGGAGGATCGCTATGAGTTCAAGACCAGCCTGGGCTACATAGTGAGTTCCATCAGTCTCTCTAATGATGTATTTAGTTGTAAAATATAAGGAACAAAAAAAGGGAAGATAACTGTTCAGCTGTTAATCCCAACTCTGAAGAATTTTTTTTAATGGCTATAATACAATGCAATTTTTATTGGCCTATTCCTAGTTTGTGGATCTTTTGAAATAAGCTGTTTTTCTTTTATTACTGTTATTGTCTAGAAATCAAATTCAGCCTTTTCTTAAGTTTATTTCTCTGGAAGTAAATATAGTTTCAGAGTCTGCATTATAAAAATGAAGTAGCATGGGAAACTACTTTTCTTATCAATTGGTGCAACAAATTTAGAAATAAACTCTTAGAAAACACTTCTCAGTAAAACAATTGTTAGCGGGGCCTGGTGGCGCATGCCTGTAATCCCAGAACTCGTGAGGCTGAGGCAGGAGGATCGCTATGAGTTCAAGACCAGCCTGGGCTACATAGTGAGTTCCAGGTCAGTCTCAACTACATAGTGAGACCCTGTCTCAAAAAACAACAAAAAATAAAAACAAAAACAATTGTTTACTTACTGTTGCTGGATGTTGTCGTATGTGATAACTCAGTTCATTTGCGAATCACATGAGATGGGTACTGTTTGTATCTTTATAGTTGGAGAAATTGAGGCATAAGCAGATTAAGTATCCTAGTTGAAGAATTTTTAAAAAAGGGATTTGAGTTATATCCTACACAGTTTGGCTGTGTGTGAGTACTCAGGGTAAATGAAATGCAGATATCCTCACTGAATGATCTACCCATTTAATGACTATTGGCACTTAGGACCTACTGCTCTGACTTTCCTCCTTTTTTTTTTTTTTGTACAGTTTTGTACACCTTGTTTATAGATCCTCAATGTCTTTTTTATTGATGCAGTATACCTTGCTTATACAGTACTATAATTTTTGCCGATTGTACAGTACAGTACTGTAGTTTCATGTCCTGTTATATACTACACTATTGCATGTAGGAGTTATGCAGAAAAAGCAAAGCCATCAAGTTGGAATTTT